TCCCGTCCGAAACCTATGCTAACCGTTGAAAACATTGAATAAACAATAACCAAAATGGGTATTCACTGCGTTGCTGATTATGTCATTTCCGTCCATCAATTTCATGCAATTTCATTGTTTATTTTGACGTGAGTTAGCAACTGCTAGTAACATGAGTTTTTCATTGAAACCTGTGTTAACAGTCGACTTAAATGTTAATTTACTTCTAACTGACTCGACCGACAATTTCATCTGTATTGTGTTCCATCCAAATAAAACGTTTTTGTCACTTTTTTGTTCCAGGAGACAGGTTTACCCTTGTAACTGGGGAGGCGGTCATTTCTGTCATCTATAGCACTCTGAATTGACCAAAACGCCGCTGAGCTGCTCCTCCGCTTTCATTTCTACATTTTCTCACGCCATTACAGTGTTCTTTCCCTACTAAGTTTCACCCTATCCCCGGATTGTCTTGTTCCTGTCATTTTTTCCCTCCTTAACTCTCCTCAGCCCTCCTTAACTCTCCGCTGCCCTCCTTTTCTCTTCTCAGCCCTCCTCAACTCTCTTCACTCAGCCCTCCTTAACTCTACTCTCCCCACTCAGCTCTTCTTAACTCTCCTCAGCCCTCCTTTACTCTACCCAACCCTCCTTTACTCTCCTCAGCCCTCCTTAACTCTCCGCTGCCCTCCTTTTCTCTTCTCAGCCCTCCTCAACTCTCCGCACTCAGCCCTCCTTTACTCTACCCAACCCTCCTTAACTCTCCTCAGCCCTCCTTAACTCTCCCCAGCCCTCCAGATAGCTCAATTGTCACCGACCCATACCCCTCTCTACTCGGCAAAAATGTTCGCCATCACAGTTGACAATCTAGGGCTACTGCCGCGATCACAAAATAACCACACAAACAGTTTTCTAACAAACACTGTATTCATCCCGAAACTATTGAATCCCGTATGTTAATATTCCAGCGGTTGTCAGTTTACAAACAAGGCTTTTAATAGCGGTTTCTGCTGTTTAAAGATTACTTTGGCGCTAATTTTAATCTTTATTTATTTCGTAGACAGTTAAATTAAAATAGGCCCTCTTTTTGTAGCTCAACACTCCGCCAGAAGAATCATCACGCTTGAAGAAACGTCGAATCACATTTGAAGTCTATTAATATCGAAGAACGGGATGATATTTCATTGCTGAGGCACAGAGGGCTGTTAAAAGTGCCAAAGAAAGCTGTATATTTGCCGATTGAAGAAAGCAAATGTGGAGGAAAATTTAGTAAATATCAGTTTGGTTTCACCATTACAAGGATTTTTAGGCCTTTCTCATCGAACGGAGTTTGTGTCGTCTAGGCTAAAGCCAAAGTTTTCTCCAGTGGTGTCTAGTACAGTATTTGAAATTCTGGATGAGTAAAAAAACGGCCTAAACCTCGACAAGATGTGGTTTATCGTGGTGACCTGCCGGAGTCTCATGTACACGCTAATATCAATCGGCACACTCATGCTAGTTTTTGCTGCCATAGCAACTCCAAAATGGCTGATAGGAAAGGTCGAACGCAGTAAACTGTACGGTAATACAACGTATCGACAATCAGTGGGAATCTACAATCGTTGTACACATGTAAACAATCTTGTTAGCCAAAAGTTAGAACCAAATTGCGGAATTTATGCAACAAGTTTTATGAAGATTGACTCTAAGGCATGGCAAGCCTGTATCGTGTTTTTAGGAATTGCAATAGTGTTGCTTGGTATTGCTGCATTCTTTGCGATTATGGCATTCTGCAAGCAAATTTGTATGGATAAATCAGTGCTGAATCTTGCAGGAGTGTTGCAAGGTTTTGCAGGCAAGTTGTGTGTAGACTTATATCTTTAAAACTAAACTTTATTTGCAATTCATATGATGAGCAAGCCTTTTTACCAACTGAGCCAACTCAGTATTACGCATGACGTCACATGGTTTAACATGACATGACATGACATGACATGACATGACACGACACGACATGACATGACATGACATGACATGACATGACATGACATGACATGACACGACACGACACGACACGACATGACATACCATGACCTGACTTGTATTTTGTTTCAGATTCCCTCTTCCTCCTCTCCCTTCTTCGCCTTATCTTTTCCAATCTCTGTTCCTTACAGTCTTAGCGACCCCCTCTCTCTCATTCACCTATCGTCCTCTCCCCTTAGACTCCTGTCACTCTTGCGGTGCCTCCGCCCAAATTTTCTCATCGGCCCCTTCCAGTCATCAACTTCTTTAGCCCCTCCCCCCTTTGGTACATTATTCAACCCTGATAACTCTAAATTTTCTCCATTTCAGGTCTCTGTCTGTCAGTTGCACTTATCACTTATCCAGTTGGCTGGACCAGCGCGCGCATTTCGCGCATGTGCCATGGTCCTAACGGTGAGTCACGTGCTTTCCAGATTGGCCAATGCCAGCTTGGTATTAGTTACTATTTTGCAATTGCAAGTTGCGTAGGCGCATTTCTTGGCTGTCTGCTGTCTGGGTTTGCTGACCGTTCAATATTTAGTAGTGACGTTCAAGAGGAGATTCTTGAAGGCAAGCATTTAATTTGTGTTCCTTAATGCTTGCGCTGTTCCTTAATAATTGTAGTGTGAAAATATTAAACATGGCATAGAAGAAAAGTCTCATCACAAAGCCTCTCCCATCTGTGGGAAAGCTTTATTCGAATTTAAAAAGAGCCCCCTTTCTATTGAATAGCCTTCTTGCCATCGTAGAAACCTTCCTTACCAAAAAAAGAAGCCTCTTCGCCATAGAAGAATGTCCCCTTATTATAGAAGAATACCCCCTTGCAATAAAAGTAAGCCCCCCCGTCACCGTAGAAGACAATAGACAAAAGCCCCTCTTCAACATAGAAGTGACCCCCCCCCCCCTCCATCATAGAAGAAAGCCCTTTTGCCATGAAGAACGTACCGATATCTACCTACCCCTGCTAGAACTTCCACGAACGTCCAGTGACATTTTACGTACCACCAGGTTTACTGGACCAATAATACATTTTGAACCGGGGGTGTCGATGATATAAAATGATCCCGCAGGTCAGATATAATTACACGCCGGACCGGATAAGACCAGCGGGCCTTTAGCTTGACACATGGTTTAAACAGTCTTAAATGTCAGATTCACTAGATTGCCATGAATTTTGTCAAAATTCAGCACAGGTGGCTGGACGTAAGGTAGTATAATTTTGTTTTAATTATTGTTTTCTGTATTACATACAGTAAGGCCCTGCAAATAGGAAACAACCTTGACGAAAGTTCTAGAATTATTATTTTATGAAAATCTTTGGTTTATAAGAATCTTTTTAAGCTGTCAGCCCCCCCCCCTCGTTTTGGGAAGCAAAAATATTTCCAAAGAGTTTTGTCTTGAAGCACTAAAATCAAGTTCGACTTGTAGAACTTGGCCCCTCCACCTTAAAAATGTGTGGCGTGGACCCTTCTGAACAGTATTATGTTCCTGACGGTATATTCAAAAAGACCAGTTGTATCATCAAACCATCTTAGATGTTACCATAAAAATGCTTTGATATTTTCTCCAGGAGTCTTCTTATTGAGTTCAGCATGAAAAGCATAATAACAGCCTTGCCCTAAAATTTGTAATTTTCAAAGCACTCTGGTTAAATAACATCATCATCGGTGCCTCGCTCTTTCTATTATAAATTACGTTACCCTAGTTAAGGCCTATAGTTAAGAAAACACGATACCTAGCCTTGGAAAATTTAAAAAACTTGTAAGAGACTTTTAGCCCAACGCAAAAAGGGCCGATATATTGGAAAATCTCACGGCTAAGTAGAAAATAAGAGTTTCTTGTTTGCAGGGCCTGATTGTATCCAAAGCATTGCGTAATCGGCCCACTGATCTGAAAGAAAAGACTGGATCGAGCAACTTATTACTGTCCTACATCAGCACGATGAAGCTGATCGAGCCTCTCCATCTTGAGACCTCTCGCGCCTAAAGCTTTGGGTTGCCATTTGTTAAAACGGTGCACACACAGTGCTGCACCTTAAATTGTGCATTAATCATTAAGTTCTAAAATATTCTAAGATACAACAGGCCTAGGAAAATAAATGAACAGTGAATTCTTTGTTACATCAGCTTAGTACTATGGCAAACATGTTCAACGTCACTTACGAATGATGCAAGTTTTTGTTTCAACGATTACTTTAAATTTTGCTATAAAGAAGCAAGTTGAATTGAAACCAACATGATTGCTCTCTAGTCTCATACAACACAGCGAGGTCTCAAGATGGATGCTGCGATGTGGACTCAACGCTGGGCTGGAGAAGCTCGATCCAGTCTTTTTTTGAGATCAGTGAATCGGCCTCGTGTTGTCATTGAAGCTTGGAGTGTTATCTTCAAAAATTTTTTACAGTTAAAGGCATTGAGTCATGATAAAAGTAGGGGGTTTGTAGACTTCATAGAAATGGTAGACTTACTCTACAAGCCTCTGTTCCGCTACAGCCTCACTTGACGGACGCTTCAACAGAGTAACGAAACAGAGGCTTCTTGAATAAGTCGAGGGGGTATGCCCAAGTACACCTAGCCATGATTCTCGTCGTGCTGTAATACTTTTGATTGACCTATGTCTGATCACGTGAAATTGCCTCATCATGTAGAACGACGTCGAAAGTAAATCGAGGACGCCTATTTACCATGACTGAATGTAAATAGTTTTCAACTCGCAATCTTCGTTTCTTTTATCCGTCTAATTAAGCTTAGGCCCAAATGTTGTTGTTTTGTGCTCTGATGAAGCCCCGTACGCCGGGGCGAAATGTTAGTTACTTTTGACTTACATGTGTTCTTTGTTGTTTGTTTTCGGCGCGTTGCCGTGTTCCTTAGTTTCTACAAGGATTCTATCGACGGTGCCTTTGTTTTGTTTTCTTGTTTTCTTTAGATTTCAAGTTACAATTATGTTCAAATATAACGTTACAATTATGTTCTAACGAGACATCTTTCTCCGCTGATACACACTGTACATAATCATAGACTCTTATAGTCAAAAATAGTCAAAAGGAACAGAATAGTCAAAAGGAATAGCATGTATTGCCATAAGCAATTATCCTTGTGGAACAGCATTACTTTTGGCCCTACAAACATTGCCCAAAGTTCTTGAGCAGAATAGTAAACATTGCCGAAAGGCCTCTGTTTCTGTTTATATAATCGCGCCTAGCTTTGTTTTTCCCACGACTGGTTTTCGTGTGTATGTTAAGTTTGTGATCACGTGAGGTGTTGTTGTTGTAGCTTAAACAATGGTAGGTGACGTAGTTAGTGATGCTAACATGATCAGCGGTCGACGATACCATCCACGTAGACTTGAGAAGGGTACGATGGCGTAATGGATCACTCTCCTACATTTATCATCAAACTTGGTTCAAAATGTCACAAAGCTATTTTGGTTTTTACGTTATTTTCTCTTATTTTTCTAAAGAGTGTTACTCAAACTTAAAGCATGCATTTAAAGTCTCCTTTGCATCTCTGCTTGGCATTTTTGAAGAGCTATTGTTTCATTTTCCACCTCAACAAAAACACTAGAAGTCCTTCCTTGGGTGAAAATGCCCTAGCTAGGCCATTCCTGGTGCTTCTGCCACTATGCCTTGAGCTACGTCGTGTTTAGTCAATTGTGTACTTTATAATGCTTATAAGCATCTGATTGGTCAATTCAAGGAACAGACAGCCAATAAGATAACAGATTGTGCAATGATCCAGGCATAGTCACTATCAAATCAATTGGTCAAAACAAATCGTTCATCAACCTACGACTGAGACTGGCCGTCTGATTAAGCCAATCATAATAATGAATAATAATATTCAAGAAAACAAAGTTATTTCAACCCAAGCGATGACATAGGACCTTTTCTTTGACATAGGCGTGACCTGGTCGAAACATTCACAGAGCATTTCATTGTGCATTCGAATTTTGAAATGATGAAATTTGTTCCATTATCGATCATTTCTTTATCAGAATGATGAAACCTTGAAGTGACAAAAAAAATTATGGATATCTGAATTTATCCGGCGTTGGTGGACCATATGCATCCTTCTCTTCATTCGTGTATTCGCCAGAGCTTTTACACGAAAAAAGCTCCGAATAATTTATTCTAGTGAAATGGTATTAATTAGAATAATTTACTCTTCACAAATAATAAGTTACCTAATTTATGCAATGTATTTAATATTAGATTTTGACGTTTCCTCGAACTGCATCTGGTGATGTTTTATTGATAGATCGTAGTTATGAAATAGTTGTCTGAAATTTAAAAGATAAAAATACTAGTTGTGATTTTGTCTCTTTTTGCCCAGAAATTAAAGTAGGTTCTACAAAAGCTTTCAAGTTGTAAAGCCATTTATAGGTTCTTCGATTTTCGAATTTGTAAAGTATGTTTCACAAGGGTGTGTTCTTGGCCCTATTTTGTTTAGAAATAGTATTTAATCGTAGATACTCTAAAGTGTTTGGGATTACTACAGCATTTGTTTTCACTGCTTTGTGCTATGGAAGTGTTATGATTTTTAAAAGTATTTTAAAGAAATAATTTCAATTTTTATTGATATAGCTGAAATAGCATCGTAAAGAAATATAGTAATGACGATAAAGTAACATTTTTATAATTAAGCATTCAAAGTACAATTTAGTTAATTTGCTCAACCTGTTTTCGGATTCATATCTGGTTTGACACAAGGATCGTCCCTGGAGCCATAACTTTTCGCGGCAGACATTTTATTCACGTACACATAAGTTTCATGCCAGCTGCCATTGCAAAAATCAATAAATAAAAGTTCTATGATGACTTTTAAGTTTGAAGAAGTTGAAAACGAAAGTCACTTAATTTGCAGCAGCTGGCAACAGAGTAGTATGGTTGGTTCCACAAGGATCTGTTTCGGGCTTTGTTTTGTTTACAAATTGTATTTCATCGCACCTACCCTAAATGTTTGGGGGTAGGTACTAACAACATTATGAATACTTTCTGATAGACATTATAGACTTAATCGTTATGATTAAGTTTCCTCAGACTGTTCAAATTCATAAAAAAATGATTTCGGGCCTAAAATTGTTCTTGAATTATTCTCGCTCGACAAGATGTGTAATTTTGGCAAGAATTGAAAAAGGAAGATCAAATTGTTGCAGCTGTCTCAGGCCCGTAGCCAAGGGGTGGCGTGTGGTGGAAATTCAAAAATTTCCGCCCCTGGAGCAAGAGAAAAAAACTTTCGCTGCTAAGCAAAATTAAAAAAAAGGCTTGCTGAAACGTCTGCCTGCAACAGGTCTGGGGATTTGCCACCCCTACTCCACATGCCTGGCTACGGGCTTGAGCTGTCTTTCTTCATTACGAACAAATTATAGGAAACGAAAGATTCCAGCAGCAGGCACCGCAGAGCGACTGAGAAAAGTAGGGGGTCTAAAAACGAAAGATTCCAGCACCCGGCTCTGAGAGCGTTGGGAAAAGTAGGGGGTTTAAAAAGGGGCGGGGGCTGGAACCGAATAATAAAAGGCTTTACTAGTGATAGACTTCTTAATATTTTGCATTTTTTGCAAAAAGTGGAGGCTAAAGCCCCCAGCTCCCCTGCTTCACGGTGCCTGTCTAGCTTGAGAATTTACCTCAAACTTTTTGCCAGAAAGTCACGTTTATTTCTTGTTTGCTCAAAATATCCAGATAAGTTGAAGATATCTATGAAATTTTAGCTATTCTTAATCTATTCTTGAATTTTAACAACTCAAAAATTTGATAAAAAAAAGCTTTGAAGAGTGTCAGAGGACGACAGTTTTTTGCAACCCCAGAAATTGTAACTGCGGAGGAATGTTTCTACCTCGATTTCTGAGAAAGAGGTCTGAGTTTGAATCAAACGTCCGCCATTTTTATTTATTCACACAAAGAAAAACCGGTAGATAAAGACGTAGCAGGTACTGAAAGAGCTTCCCAAAACACGCTTGTACCTTCTCCATCCGGGAAACAACTCTGTAACGCTGATGAGAAAGCAGGGCATAGCGATACAATGACGATCTTTTTTTGGAATTAGGCCCATTGTTGTTTTGAGGAAGCAGTGAATTCACATGCGTCGAGTTTGAAGATGGCTGCTTCAAAGGCATTTAAGATTGGGGACCTCGTCTGGGCAAAGATTAAAGGCTACCCTCACTGGCCTGCAAGGGTATGCAAGTTATTTTTAAGCTGTAACACATTTTGATCTTTTTGTTATTTGGTGACACAGTTCGATTCAACGCACGCCAGTTCACGTCGTTCTTTTTTAACCAAAAATTTAAATGTTACATTTTCCACGAATCTCTTTTAAACTTAAGGATGTTATCTCTTGTTGTGTTTATAACAGTCCACTTATTTCCTTTCTGATAAGAAGCATATGCAAAATTCGTTTTTTGTCTCGTGGAATCATGAATTGCCAATTATTACAATCAACGACTTATTGTACACCCACCGTTCAGTTCAGCTTCATTGACAAAATATAACTAAATGTATTTCAATACCAAAACTGCAATGCAAGAGTTTATTTACAGATAAAATCTAAAACATTAATTTTATCTGTATCTAAATATATTTGTCTAAGGGGTTGCTACCCAGACTGGAAACTTTGTTGGGGGCCTGCAAAAATATTGCCCATACATACATCTGCATGCTTTACCATACTGATCATGCAAAACCCCTAGATTATAACATTTAACATTATGAACAACAAAAATAACCAAGAATGTGTGATTTCAGGCATGCAGTCTCAAATTTTCACAGTAAACTTTTCCACACAAGAAACAAAGTTACCAGTCTGGGGTGCAGTGCTTTCAAAGACCAGTCTTCAAAAACTTTGTTTTGGTATTGTTTAATATATGCTGACTTTAAATGACGGGGGAGAAAGCTTCAAAGGTCTCCACTTTCTGGGGGATGTTAGCGAGTTCTGGGGGAAGTTAACAAGAGGGAATGTGGACATTTTACTCCTCATTTGATTAAATTTATATTAGGAATATATCATTCTTTGGTAGCATGTTGCCATATTTGTGCTGAAAAAAAAGTTAATAAGACCAAAAGATAACATGACATCCAAATTCCATTTAAATAATGGAATAGATCAAATGTAACTAAAGTATGCCTAAAAATAGTAAAACATTTCCACCAATTGCAAGAAATAGACTGCAAGAAATATTCTGAAATATATTTTAAGCTAATATAAAATGAGTTCAGCTTGCTTTGCTTCCAGGAGTCTTGTCTTTCCAAAGTATACTGTCATTTCCATTGAGTCACTTTAAAAACAGATACATTTTAACCCGTTTTTATTTTAAACCAGGCTAGTGGAAAGCAAATCAAAATAGAAAAGTTTTGAGGCAATATCTTTGCCCTGAGAATGGGCATGTCCTACAAATAAGAAACCTTTATCCTCCTTATCGTGGTCTTTATCCTCCAGAAATTAGTTCTATAGTTACAAGAAGTCCTAAATCCTTTCATATGTTATGTGTAATATTATTATGAGTTCCATTTTGTGTGGCTATTTAATAATAACAACTTGTGAGGGCAGCTTAATAACAAAAGAAAGATTTTATCAACTCATACAATGGTTTTATTCATAAATACAAATTTTACAATTTTATCTTGTAGATAGACGAACCACAACCTGGGCAAAAAGTTCCACAAAGAAAATACTTAATATTCTTTTTTGGAACCCATGAAGTGTAAGTATATGTTGAAAACAAAATCAAATCTCTTTTCACGAGGAGCATAATCCTGGCTAAGTGGCAACCTTGTTGTTAGAAATTCTTTTGACTTGGATATGGTAGGAATATCCAATGGAATTGAAAATCAGTCCGACTTAGGAGAAAATGTAAGGTAACAGAATTGAGATGTAGATTTTTGATATTTAGGTACCTTACTAAATTATCAGAGGAATGTGTTATCAATGGCATTGAAAAAAGCAAACATTTGAGTATACTAAAGCTTTTTGTCTGACACTCACTGAGCTAGGAGATATGTATACCCAACTGGGTATATGTATATATTTTCAAGCATGGAGTTCTGATGAGAAAACCATTCTATGTTCTGACGTTTTATACTCTGAAGAGTGTTAGACAGTGTGAGTGGAAAGGCTTTAGTATACTCAAATGTTTGCTTTTTTCAAAGCCATTTTTAAGTTTTGTACCACCAAAAGATTGTTTGAGTGTGTTATTGTCAAGCCTTTCCCCAAGACATGGACTCTAGCCCATGCTTGTACAAACCCCACACAAACAAATTTTGTGAGGGCTTTTTTGCTAGGGCAGTTTTTGAAAGAAACACGTTATAAGAAATGAGTACTGGGCAATCAGAAAAAATTAAAAGACAACATTTCTCAAAACAAAAACCGAAAGAGTTTGTTTTATTTCTTGGACTCTTCAACTAGGTGAGAGCAAGCAGTTATGATTGGTCCAATCGTAAAACATATGACCATTCATCATGCCTTCTGATCTCCCTGTTACTGTTATTTGCTTAAAAAATTTCTGCTTACTTTTTGAAATTATATATCTGACATAAATACTTTAGATGGTGACAGTCTGATATATTTCAGTTTGATGTGTTTTCACTCTTCTGTGCTTTTTCTAATTAAGAAACTCTTAAGAAAGAATGAGCTTTACAATTTCCTATACCATCAACAAAATTGAATCCTCAACGTCAACCTTCATTTCTTATAGAAAAGAAGTCTATTTCAGCTTTATTTTTTATTGAAATCAACTTTATCTTCTGTTACCCTTTAAATAATATTGTATTGCTCTTTATTCTTGAATCAAGATGAGTTTTGTTTCATCCTACTCAATAAGTATGTGTTCCTACACAAAGCTTTACCATTTTGCAATAAAATCTAGATATCTCTTTTGTCATTTTAAGGAGCAGTAAAACACATAAAATTGTCTTCGTAAGATAAAGAATGTTTAAAAGTAGGCAAGGTAATATAAATTTTTCTTTGTACATACTCAAATACAGATAGATGAACAATTTATTCTGCAAGAGCTAAACAGCCTATGCAAAAAGACCACCAGGGGTCTTTTTTCCAGAGAGGCCTGGTTATTGTTTTTACTCAAGGGCTCGTTTTACTTTTTGTTTGCATTTTGTTTCTCTAGCGGGTTTGTTAAAGCAGACGATTTGTTTCCCTTTGAAGAACACAAATCCAAATACTTTTTAACTTCAAAGAAAAACAGAGGCTTTGCCGAAGCACTTGTTGAGGTTATAGAGAACCCGACTGTGAGGCATACCCCAGCAGAGGAGGAAGAGGAGGATAACGAGGCTGAAGATGATAACGAGGCTGAGGAGGATAACGAGGCTAAGGAGCAAAGTCAAAACGAGGCAGCTGAAGACGAGGACAAAGCTGAAAGTGAAGAAGTTGATCAAGAAAAGGAAGAGAAGAAAAAAGAGAAGAAAAACAAGAAGAAGAAGAATGATAAAGAAGAAATCGAGAAAAAGAAGAAAAATCGCAAGTCAAAAGATAAAGATGATACAAAAGTATGTACGCTATTTGTCATTCTAAAGTGACAGGGTCACGCATAAGAGGGGCTTTGTTTACAAATATTCAAAGCAAAATGTCTGATGACATAATAGCAGGCCTTAAAATCTTGATGCTTGCAGCAGTGCTGCTAAGTCTGGACCATTCTTAAACAATTCACTTTCAGCAAGGTTTACTATTCGTAAATCTGGGCTTTCACAGACAGACGTCTCTATCTCATCACGTCATCCTTAAAATCTATCTCTTTGGCCAAACAGCGCATCAGGATTTTCACTTCTTGTGTTTCTGCAGCAGTACAAACTGCCTTTTTTCGTGGACTGATCAAAGGAATGGTGTTGAAATATACGTATAGAATCAATCTTTAAGGCTTTGGCAATGACAAAATATTTTTTTAGTAACAAATGACTTTAGAATCTTCATGATGTGCTGCGATTTTCTGTCCTACCAAATCTCACTTCAGTTCCTGTGGTGGATTCATCACATCCACAAGCATCAGCACAACAACTTTGCCCCCCCCCCTCGAATAAGCCCCCACTGCTACCGTAAATTCTCAAATTAGACCCGTTGATTTGTTGATTGTTGCCATCTGAGGTTGCCTATGGCGTTTTATTGAATTACGACAACAAATTCATACTTCTGGTAGTAATTAATTAAATGCTTATAAAGAAATTTCTATTAAAATAAACGAGGTAATTAATAATGTATTCTTAATGTCTACAATATTTTTATAAGCCCCCCTCGTATAAGCCCCCCTCGAATAAACCCCCCTCGAATAAACCCCCATTCAAAAATATCAAAAATAAATAAGCCCCTAGGGGGCTAATTCGAGGATTTACGGTATATGATATTTTCCTTGTTTTTAAGCCCAGTTTTGTTATCTAGTCCAAGATTACCAGATTGGCCAAATTCTCCAATTTTGGCCATATTCAAAGTCAAATGGCCTGGAAAATGCCTCTTAAATTTGGCACAGCAACTTTGTCCCGCAGCCTTACACGTGACCCAGCCCCTTTAAGTCAGAAATAAATTTTCTTTACAACTGGCACTCCTTTGTTTGCCGTATTTTTCGTTCAAATTCAGCCGGAAGAAAATAAGTCGCGTCTGATTGGTTGTAGCCTGACCAATCAGTAACCTTAAATAGCTGATGTGGTTGACTAGCTGTCTATCTTTTGACCCATGTGTGCTTTGTAACTCTTGTATTGATGCAATATTGGTGTTTGTTAAACAAAAAGATCCCGTTTATAACTGAGAGTAAGATTACTATAAGCTTGTAATAAGTAAAAAATGCTTCTATGATTTGACCTTGTTTTTAGGCCTAGTTTTGTCATGTAGTCCAGGATTGGCCTTTTTCTGGCCAAATTCTCCAATTTTGGCCATATTCAAAGTCAAATGGCAATGCGTGGAAAATACCTCTTAATTAAATTTGGCTTTTTGGCCATCTTCAGCTGAGTTTTGAGGACATCCATTTGCTTTGTATAAACTTTAACACTCTAAAGAACAAACGAAATCTAAATTGAAAAAACAATACTACACAGTTCGGACTCAAATATCAATACTTTATCTAACCTAATGATTAGTGAAAAATATTTTTTAAAGGCAGAAGTTTCTCAGTTTCTTGTTTGAGTTTGGAAAATTAATTTAAAAGGTTCTTGCGTGGGAATGGCAAAGCTTGAAAGTTTATTTTTGCAAATTTTTCATTTGGCATTTTGATGCGAAAATTGGCCTGAGTTGGTCATCCGTCTTGTCTTCTTTGATTAATTCCATCTGGCAACCCTGATCTAGTCTATTCTGAACCATCTTTGCCCAGATGGCAGGGATTATGTTTTCTTATCTCGTTTGCAACATCCAATACTTTTATCATTTGAATTTGAACTGACCCTGTTCCAACTTCTAGACATTGCTGTATTCCTGACCGAAATATTCTCACCTATTCATAGACTGTGAAGGAGAAAGACACCAAATCTAAAAACCAGACCAAAGAAGTCCGAAGAGAGGACAGGCAGGCCAAGGTGGGACCAAAATTGGTTAATCATAATCTTAATTAAATTGCTAGAATCGTTTCTCCATAATTGACAAGCATCAGCTGATCCACAACTAATAATTTGATTGGCAGTTGATTGACATATCGGTGACAGGCTCTTGTTTGATTGTCAATTTGACTCAAACAATCAAATGATAACCTATTGGTTGATTGACAGTTGCCTGTTGACATATTTGTTTTGACCAATCAGAACGCAGCTTATTGTTTGATTGACCGTTTTTCTTGGTCGATAATTTATCTTTGACACTTTGTTATTTGATTGACAATTGCCTATTGACATGTTTGTTATAGCCAATCAGAACACAGCTTATTGTTTAACTGACCGTTTATTTTGGTCGACACCTTGTTATTTGATTGACAGTTCTTTGTTGACATTTTTGTTTTCACCAATCAAATCACAGCTTTTTGTTTGACTGACATGCTTGATAGGCCGATAGAACAACGTCTTGCTTTCTCTATTTTGATTGATCAATTACTCCTGTAAGATCCTAAATATCCTAACATATAAATGTTTTCTTCTTTGCAGAGGCGTTTAAAAAAGAAGAAGAGACTTTCCGCGGCGATAGTGCGAGAATCTTCTGATGAAGAAGACTCAGAGAGTGATGAGGAGAAGCTGCATATTGATGTGAAGAACGACAATAAGGAAGTGAGTTTATATTACTGTTTACAGGCCTGTCATAAAATGTTTGATGCCGTATAAGCGGTGTTGAAACGATTGAGTTTTGGGAATAGGGTGGTGTCCAGTCCTTTCTCCCGTCGACCAATGCATTGACAGGCCTTTTGATAAACCTCTTCGGCACATGACCTCTGGATAGTTAGTTACTTAGTGGTGTGGTAGAATGCTTGAATTATAACATATTATCTCACAAGTTATAAAAAAACTAATATGAAAAAATAGGTATGTAACAATGAAAAACGGATATTGACGATGTTCCTCCCCTTTTCTTGTTCCACCCCTCCCCCCGATTATTATCATACCAAACCATTTCCGACCCCCTCCAATTACCCCCCTTCCCGAATATATTCAGTACTCGAGAGTAGCTGTTTGGTTTACCTCCTCATCGCAATTATCATTTGTATAAACTACTCGGTCTTGTCTATTTTGGTTGTCGGCGCAACCAAGTGTCCTTTGGTTTTGAGTTGAGGGGGATTTGTTTTGTGACAGAATCTTGCGTTGGCTAAGATACCAGAGTTTTATATATCATTTTGGTTTTGTAGATTTCTGCAAGCGACCAGTCCTCGGATTCAGAAGAGGTTTGTCTTAGAATGTTGTTAAAACTTGTTTCAACAGATTTAATCTACTAGTAAAAGTACCACACGTGACTTGACTTCCTATTGTCCTCCAAACAATAGTTCTTCCTACTTTCCCTTAATTTCCCCATGGGGTTACACAATGCCCACCGAGCTAGTGCACTCTCATTCTGCAAGCTGAATGAGACACATACAGTGGCGGATACCTTGGGGGCGAGGAGGGTCAAGTTGAAAAAGCTGTTTTCGAGAAGAAAAACTACGGACCAAGAGACTCAAGAATGAAAATCCACCAAATTTCGAATTCTTTTGATGTCAATTCGGGCAGTGATTAGTCGCCAGTAAGCGCCGTGTCTAAATGTAAACGTAGTCAAGTGACACTATTTTCACCCAATTTCTCGCCCCGGTCTCTTCATGCAAACTAAACGCGTGGATATCGAAAAGGTTTATTCACCATATCTGCTAATATCTCACCCAATATTTAACAAATTTAACTGATTTTGCATGTTTAGAAGTATTTCATTGTGTTCTTTTATGTTATGTTGTCAAAAGTCAAAAACTCTAAAAACAGATCGTCGAAATGAAAGCCAGTAGGCTTAGTGCAATGTACCTTGGGCCTAAAAGTTTGATAGGCTAGGGGAAGTCTCATTTCTTACTGCCAAAGTTTCTGATCTTTCGACATTTTCTTTCCTATTTCGATCCACAACTGGGTATATATATTTCCTAGCGTAGAGTTTTCGATCTATGTTCTGACGTTTTAAACTCTGAAGAGTGTCAGACGAAAAGCTTTAGTTTACTAAATGTTTGCTTTTTTCAAAGCCATTTACAAGTTTTGTATCACCAAAAAATTTTCTTTCCTGTCGGGTAACATGATTGATTGTTTTTTTATCGGCAGCCAGCGCCAAAAAAGAAGAAAGTATCTTCTGCTGGAGAAAGAAAATCGAAAGGGAATCAAAGGAAATCGACGGAGAAAACGCCAAAGAGAAAAAAGACGACAGTTAAAGAAGAGCTAAGTGAGGTGGTAATTCTTTTCATGTACTTATTTGTTTAGAGGCTCTTGCACAACCGGTATTCCTTGCGACTTTATATTCAAAACTGGCCTAATTTCGTACTGCATATCAATTTCTTAAGACAGCTGCCGCTAAATAGGCCGCTTGCGCAAGAGCCTTTAAAGGTACTATGTCCTGGCGCATTTCTTTTGCTGTTTGAATCCCCATTGGTTGGACTAGACAATAGGCCTATTGTTACATATCCAATCAGCAACTAAAGGCTAGTTCTCGACATTTTCTCGATCATCAACGCCCGCAAAGCGTATTTTTGACTCTTGTCGGGTGACTGATGGGACATATTGCCTTAAAGTGATAAAGTATTTACTTTAACAAAATACGCTAGGTATGTATTGCAATGCAAGGATGTTGTGTTAAAAGTTGGGTTTTCAGAAGCATTTTCTGGATTCAACTAACTGCCATATTTCCAATGGACTTTTCTGACCGCCTTGCTTCTTTGATTGGCATACTATTGTAGTCATTCTTCTTTTTGATTGACATGTTTTTGTTGCAGTGGTTTTTTGATTGGCATTTCCAATATGATCTCTCATTTTGATTGACATGTTTTGTAGCTATTCATCTTTTTGATTGACATTTCCTGTTTGATGTCTTTTTTGATTGCCTTGCTTGTTTTTGTAGTCATTCTTCTTTTTGATTGACATGTTTTTGTTGCAGTGGTTTTTGATTGACATGTTTTTGTTGCAGTGGTTTTTGATTGACATGTTTTTGTAGTCATTCTTTTTTTTATTGACATGTTTTTATAATGATTCTTTGTTTTGATTGACATGTTTTTGTGGTCATTCTTTTTTTTGATTGACATGTTTTTGTAGTGATTCTTTGTTTTGATTGACATGTTTGTGTAGTGATTCTTTGTTTTAATTGACATGTTTTTGTAGTCATTCTTCTTGTTGATTGACATTTCCTGTTTGATGTCTTTTTTTTGCCTTGCTTGTTTTTATAGTCATTCTTTTTTTGATTGACATGTTTTTGTAGTCATTTTTTGATTGACATTTTCAACTATTCTTTGTGATATCCTTCTTTTTCATTGCCGTATTATGTCATAATGCTTTTTCTTAGAAGAAGTATGTTTTTAAATAATGTTTTAAACTTCAATTTTCCAGGACGACGAAGAGAAAGAAGTTATGGATGAAAAAGATTTAAAAGAAGCTGAAGATCAAAAAAAGGTTTTGCAAGAAAAGTTGAAAAAAATTCTTGAAGAAAAACACGAAAAGGAAAAACAGAAAGAAATGGAAAAGAAAAAGAAACAAGAAGAGAAAGAAAGAAGGAAAGAAGAAAGGCGGAAAAGTAAAGAGGAGAAGATGGGAAAACAAAGGTAGTTTATGATGGTGTTTTTTGAAAATGGAAAAAAGCTCCAGAAAGGTTTTCATAAAATGCATACAAAACATTTTTTGTGGTACAGCATTTTTAGATGGTTTTGACACTCTTCGTACTTATGCTTTTCGTCTGACACTCTTCAGAGTTTAAAACGTCAGAACATAGATCGAAAACTCTACGCTAGGAAATATATATACCCAGTTGTGGATCGAAATAGGCCAATCAGAAACGCAAGCACATGACTGTTGGGGTTGACCAATCAGTGCCATTTGCCTATTATCAATGTTATCAATGGAGTCCTAAGGTGAAAACGAACTCTCTCTGTCTACATAGATGAAAAGTATTTTCTGGAGAGGTTCAATCGAAAAGCTCAAGTATGATTCCAAAAAATTTGTGTCTTCACCGCCGTTTTCACAAAAACATCTAGAGTCACAAATTCTTTGAACTTAGAACTCGACTTAAAAACCATCTATCATCACATCACATGTGTGAACCGGTACAAAGGGAATAAAATATCTCGTTGATAACCAATTTGTTCATTTATTCATTCATTCATTCATTCATTCCTAACTTCATTCATTCATTCATTCATTCATTCATCCATCTATTCATTTATTCCTTCATTCATTCATTCATTCATTCCTTCACTCATTCATTCACTCAATCATTCATTCATTCAGTCATTCGTATATTCATTCATTCATTTTTTCGTTCATTCATTCATTCATTCATTCATTCATTCATTCATTCATTCTTTCATTCATTCATTCATTCATTCATTCATTCATTCCTTCATTCATTCCTTCATTCATTCATTCATTCATTCATTCATTCATTCATTCATTCATTCATTCATTCATTCATTCATTCATATTCATTCATTCATTCATTCATTCATTCATTCATATTCATTCATTCATTCATTCATTCATTCATTCATTCATTCATTCATTCATTCATTCATTCATTCATTCATTCATTCATTCATTCATTCATTCATTTTACGATGTTAATTCTGGCTAAGTTTCATTCATATGTTGCTCAAACTGATGTGTTTAAATAAAATTTTAATATGAAAGCAGTAAAGTAGAAATAAGAAGTTTAAAATGCCTAATTTACATTACGTTATGGTATTATATGAAATAAGAAAAAAAGGAAAAATGGAATAAAGGCTATATTCTCGACTAAAATTTTCTTGAAAAATCTTCAGGGAAGATGCGAATTTTGTTTCTCTTTTGAGACTTTTCCAGAGAACCGATTCAGTGTTGAACTCTGCGCATCCGCAAGGTCTTGTTAGAGTTTTTTATTGCCTACGTGTTTACCGATCACTGATTGGATAAGCTTGGGCCAATCAGGCGCATCCTTCATTCCTTTATAGTTCTAAAGTGATGACGTCACAAAAATAAATTTTTATAACTTTTGAATTTGGATCCATAAGCCTGAAAAAGCATCATTAAATACCTCTAAATATGCACAATCAGTCAAATGTGTTACGAAATGACAGATATATGGCCACATGTGCGTTGGTTCTCTCCCCATCAAACCTCGGTAATTTGGTCTCTGTTCATAACTTTATGAACAGAGCCAAAATAACAGTGATTCGTTAGCAAACTTCAAATCTCTAATTAGCCATATCTCGACCGAGTTTAGACATATTTGACTAATTTTGCATATTTGATAGTATTTCATGGTGATCTTTTATTTTATGTGGTTAAAATTCAGAACATTCTAAAAATAGGTTTTTGGTGACGTCACACTTTAGAACCCTATTGGCTATTCTTGACATGTATATGACAAATTTCGTTGTTATTTTTCATTTACGATCAAAGTTTTTATTTTTGTACTGCGTCACATAGACAGGACAAGAAGCAGAGAAAGAAGGAGGAAAAAGCCAGGGAAAAAGCAGAAGAGAAAGAAGAACGTGAAAGAATGGAAGAAGTTGACAAACTTAGACGCGAAGAAGAAGCAAGACTCGCATATGAGCGATTGGCACAGGAATCACAAGGTTAGAATTCCTTTTGATTTGATGAAGGCAAAAACAACAAAGTTAGATTCTTTAATGATTCTACGATCACAGGAATCACAAGGTTAGAATTCCTTTTGATTTGATGAAGGCAAAAACAACAAAGTTAGATTCTTTAATGATTCTACGATCACAGGAATCACAAGGTTAGAATTCCTTTTGATTTGATGAAGGCAAAAACAACAAAGTTAGATTCTTTAATGATTCTACGATCACAGGAATCACAAGGTTAGAATTCCTTTTGATTTGATGAAGGCAAAAACAACAAAGTTAGATTCTTTAATGATTCTACGATCACAGGAATCACAAGGTTAGAATTCCTTTTGATTTGATGAAGGCAAAAACCACAAAGTGAGATTCTTTAATGATTCTATGATCGCAAGAATCACAAGGTTAGAATTCCTTTTGATTTGATGAAGGCAAAAACCACAAAGTGAGATTCTTTAATGATTCTATGATCACAGGAATCACAAGGTTAGAATTCCTTTTGATTTGATGAAGGCAAAAACCACAAAGTTAGATTCTTTAATGATTCTATGATCACAGGAATCACAAGGTTAGAATTCCTTTTGATTTGATGAAGGCAAAAACAACAAAGTTAGATTCTTTAATGATTCTATGATCACAGGAATCGCAAGGTTAGAATTCCTTTTGATTTGATGAAGGCAAAAACAACCAAGTTAGATTATTTAATGATTCTATGATCACAGGAATCGCAAGGTTAGAATTCCTTTTGATTTGATGAAGGCAAAAACAACCAAGTTAGATTCTTTAATGATTCTATGATCGCAAGAATCACAAGGTTAGAATTCCTTTTGATCTGATGAAGGCAAAAACAACAAAGTTAGATTCTTTAATGATTCTATGATCGCAAGAATCACAAGGTTAGAATTCCTTTTGATTTGATGAAGGCAAAAACAACAAAGTTAGAGTCTTTAATGATTCTATGATCACAGGAATCGCAAGGTTAGAATTCCTTTTGATTTGATGAAGGCGAAAACAACAAAGTTAGAGTCTTTAATGATTCTATGATCACAGGAATCACAAGGCTAGAATTCCTTTTGATTTGATGAAGGCAAAAACAACAAAGTTAGATTCTTTAATGATTCTATGATCACAGGAATCACAAGGTTAGAATTCCTTTTGATTTGATGAAGGCAAAAACCACAAAGTTAGAGTCTTTAATGATTCTATGATCACAGGAATCGCAAGGTTAGAATTCCTTTTGATTTGATGAAGGCAAAAACCTCAAAGTTAGATTCTTTAATGATTCTATGATCACAGGAATCACAAGGCTAGAATTCCTTTTGATTTGATGAAGGCAAAAACAACAAAGTTAGATTCTTTAATGATTCTATGATCACAGGAAACACAAGGCTAGAATTCCTTTTGATTTGATGAAGGCAAAAACAACAAAGTTAGATTCTTTAATGATTCTATGATCGCAGGAATCACAAGGTTAGAATTCCTTTTGATTTGATGAAGGCAAAAACCACAAAGTTGAATTCTTTAATGATTCTATGATCGCAGGAATCACAAGGTTAGAATTCCTTTTGATTTGATGAAGGCAAAAACAACAAAGTTAGATTCTTTAATGATTCTATGATCACAGGAATCGCAAGGTTAGAATCCTTTTGATTTGATGAAGGCAAAAACCACAAAGTTAGATTCTTTAATGATTCTATGATCACAGGAATCTCAAGGTTAGAATTCCTTTTGATTTGATGAAGGCAAAAACCACAAAGTTAGAGTCTTTAATGATTCTATGATAACAGGAATCACAAGGTTAGAATTCCTTTTGATTTGATGAAGGCAAAAACAACAAAGTTAGAGTCTTTAATGATTCTATGATCACAGGAATCATAAGGCTGGATTCTTTTAGGATTCTATGAGAACAATAATTACACGGTTGTATTCGTTTAGGATTCTATGAGTGGAAGAATCACAAAATAAGGTTCGTTTAGGAATCTATACTCACAAGAATCGCAAAGTAAGATTTGCTCTCATTTTTATGGTTGCAAGAATCACAAGGTTGGATTCGAAGTAAGATTTGCTTACACTTCTATTGCCGCAAGAATCACAAGGTTAGATTCGTTTACGATACTATGAGTGCAAGAATCACAACATTGAATGCGTTTACGCTTCATGCGTGGAAGAATTATAAGGCTGGATTCGTTTAAGATTCTATGAGCACAATAATTACACGGTTGTATCCGTTAAGGATTCTATGAGTGGAAGAATCAGAAGGTAAGATTCGTTTAGGATTCTATGATCACGATAATTATGCGGCTAAATCCGTTTAGGATTCCATGAGTGCAAGAATTACAAGGTAGGATTCGCCTTTTCAATCAGGAATTCAAGTGATGTGTATTGCTGTTTCAAAGTTTACAAATACAGTCAGGAAAACGTTTGGTTGCTAGAGAACAGTCTGCATTCGGTAATTCCTCTGCCGAAATTTCCCTCCCCTCTGTGTCCCATCCAAACTATACATCTAGTCCTGGTTTTGTTTTCTGTGAATTTGTAAATCATAAATATTAGACTATTGTTAGTCATGTGTATAACCTCATATACGTCATAAGAATCTCAAAATTGTTCATCATTAATTTCACACAACATCATCAAATGTACTCAAAGCCTCTTGCGCAACCGGCATGCTTAGCGGCAGTTGCCTTAAGGTCATGTATCCAAAAGGTCATAACCCGTCACACCGTAAAACATCTTAAACAAAAGTCATAAATTGGTCAAAAATAAAGTTTGCAAATAAATGTCTTATCATGATGCTAATGAATATTATGTCACTACTTTATATAAACAATAATAATAAAACAATTTAATGAGATTAAAACACGAAGCAGGTCAAAATCCATTCATGGAATTTGGCCCTTGACCTCTCTTGAAAACCTAAAGAGTAAATCTCCGTTTAAAATAACTTGTATAGTGCTGAGGTCTAAGGGATTCTTCATTTGGCTTCCGATGTTATTTGTACCAGAATCTCATCTCCATTTCATTTCAATTCGATTGCACTTTTGACCTCCAAAACGCCATCTGACCTATTCAAATGACCTCTGACCCGTCAAGATGACCCTTTTCACAACCAATCAAAGAACTCCTCAGCCAATCTAAGAACTCCTAACCTCGTCATAAATCTTAAAACCTTAAATTTCTGAATGGTCTTTTGTAAATTTTTAAATGCTTTAAATGCAATAATTTTAATTTTCAGAATATTTTCAAATTTGACATCAAACTGTTTCCTTTCTTTTGCTAAAAATCTTAAATTTTATTTTTTTTAATTATCAAATATGCAGTCATGCATAAACGGTATCAAATTACAGTCTAACATTAAAAGCTGAATGTATGATTTCAACATTTTGGGACTGTGTAGAGTTTTGAGAGGGGAGGATGGGGATAGATGGCGAGAAATGGAAAGTAGAATAAATTTCGCGTGGGGGGGGGGGGGTTACTAAAAAATGAAGGGGCCGGTGATGGCAACGGGGGAGAGAATGAAAGATGGTGAAGGAAAAGATAATGAAGGAAGACATATTCACATCAACATTAGATTTTTTTCATATTTAGATTAGAAAATCACTAGGTTGTGTGAGAATTTCTTGATATTTAAGAGATTATCATATATATTGGATTGTATCTTTGACCGGTGAGCCATTTCAAATATGATTGACAGCTTTTAAGTCCGACTTGTCTTTCAACCAATTGGCTTCAAAACCGCAAATATGCTTTAAGGTCGTGCTACGGTTTGTATTTGAACTGAAGTTTTGAGTCCATCCCACCTTAGGACCAATGTCCACCTTATGCAACAGTTATTTCCAGATGGATGTTTATTTTCCGTTGTGATGATGTATCTAGCTCCCCGAAGATAATGGAAATTAAAGGATTACAAGTGAGCTAGCCTAACTTTTTATAAGCGACGCTTTGAGTAAATGAGTGACGTTAGATGCCATAAATCTGCAGGAGATGAAGTAGCCACAACCAACGAGACGAACGGGCACAAGGAAGATGACGATGTCAAACTACAACAACAGGGTATGCCGCGAAAATCAAGAGGTATTTATAATCAATACATACGTTGATAAGGTCAGTGACGAGAATTCAAGTTCATAGGTCATAGTCACCCCAGTTGAAAAGGTCAAAGGTTACTAGCTCCTCACTCTTTTAAGGCAGTCGACAGATTCCATAGTGACTTTAGCCATTTGTCAATCAGCAATTGGCCAATCAGTGAGCGTGATGCCACTTATACTCTTATTGATTGGCTATTATTGATGGGAAATGGCTTAAGCCACTAAAGTATCTGTCAATTACCTTGCATTCCAAAGGCAGTAGCCTTCACAGAACTAAAGGTTTTGGATCATCGGCTCATAAGTATTTAAGGTCACAAGCCTTTGTCTTCTCAGTATTAAAGATCTTTAGTGTTCATCGTAACATCGATTGATGGTTGACTAGGATGTTCATTTAACGAGAAACGTGCTGTTTTCAACCAGTGCGATCTTATTTAACGTGCAGAGGACACGGAGCCAGAGAGAACTTGTCTGTGCAGTGTGTAACGTGATTTCTACTGACTAATCATTACTATTATTATTATTATTTAAAAGAGTAAGTATTGATTTAAAAACTGGCAAACTTTATAAAATGACATGCAAAGGAAAGGATGTGTTTAGTGGCTAACGATGGTGTGATGAATTGGGTTAAAATGTAATGTAATTAGCATGGAAAATGATGAATATATAATTACGTAGGTATGCAGAAAAGCAGTGATGGATTGTATAAAATAGCCTAAATTGAATCACTGCAGATCATTTGTCATCAGGTCCTCAGTAGTTAAGGTCAAAGACCATAGTTACTTCAGCATTGAGGTCATAGGTCACAGGTCCCAAGGGTCATAAGCCATAGTTTCCTCAGTATTTAAAGTCATAATTCATCAGGTCATGAAATCTAGGGCCATAGGTCATGCGATGGAGTGTCAAATAAAAACTGCAAAGCTTGAAGTGAAAGCCAAGATGGGACTCTCAATTTTGTTGGAATATTATTTGATTTGTCATATGGTCACACTATCTTGACGTCCTGTTTCATTTCAAATTGTCCTAAATTTCACGCCATTTATCTATCCATTTCGTCTCTATGTCCCAATTAAATGACAATTTAAATTAAAATTGATAAGAGTAATATAATATGTTCTGAAATGAAGAAATATTTAATCAATAAAATTCAATAACATACATAAACGTTTTTAGTAATTTAAATGCTTAAATGATTAGTCAATTTAGGCCCTGTTCACACAATACCAGATTCATTTCATATCGGATTCACTGACCCAATCCGATACAAATATTAAGCTCAGTTCACATGATACTGGGTTCATTTTGTATCGGATTCACTCCTGTTCACACAGTGACCCTACGCTTCAACACTGCTCCATAAAATCAATTGTCTTGCAGCAGTTGCATAGCAACGTGGAATGTTGTTCGTTGTTTTGCTCTTTTTCTGATTGAATGCATTCTTTGACGTGACGGAACTGATAGGCTGTTGTGTTTGAAGAAGAAATAATTCGAAATCAATTTTAAAACAATCTTATTTTCCTTTGCATGAAGTTTCCGTTGTTATCAAGTGTTTAATTTATCAAGATTTTTCTATTTAAATCCCATCTCAGACTTTTATGACGTGAACACAGGCTTATGATATCGCCATTTTAAATTGAATCCCATTTTGACTAGTTTTAACATGAAACCAAATCAAATACGAAATTAAGCCACGACACTAGAAATATAAACAAATATATTAAACTTGTTAAAATATAAATATAACAATAACTTTTAATGTTTAAAGTGCATTTGATCTCATTAAACCATAAATATAAAGTTATTTCTGAAAGATATTTTATTAATTTTAACATACGTTGAAGCAGAAAAAAGGCTTGCTTTTTAGAAGCTTGCGACACTTTGTCACCCCGAGTTGAGTTTCAACCCGAGCTCTAGAAACCCTCTTTTATTTATGGTGCAATTCTAATTGAGGTAATATCAGTTCATCACATTATCAACCCGTGGTTTTATGTCAGCACCCATTGTTGTGTATCTTGGGATAAACTCAACCAGGATAGATTTTTCATTTCAAGATCCTTTTACTTAAATCACAAATATTGGGCTGCCTATATGGCACAGAGTACTTTATCTTTCTATTATCCTTCTCCTTCTTCTCTTTCCTCTACTCCTTCTTCTTCTTCCTCTTCCCCCTCTTCTTCCTCTTTTCTTCTTCTCCTTTTCTTTTCTTCTTTTTCTTTTATTTTCTCCTTCTTCTTCTAATCCTTCTTCTTCTTCTTTATCTTATTCTTTCACTTCTCCTTCTTCTTTTTCTCCTTCTTTCTTCCTCTTTTTCCTCTTGTTCTCCTTCTCCTCCTTCTTCTTCCTCTTCTTCTTCCTCTTTTCTTCTTCCTCTTTTCTTCTTCTTTTTCTTCCTTTTTTCTCCTTCTTCTTCTACGCCTTCTTCTTTTTCTTTATCTTATTCTTTCACTTCTCCTTCTACTTCTTCTCCTCCTTTCTTCCTCTTCTTCTTATTGTTTTTCTCCTTACTCTTCTCCTTCTTCTTCTTCTTTTCCTTATTCTTCTTCCTCTTCCTCTTTTTCTTCTTCCTCTCTTCCTTTCTCTTCTTCTTCCATTTTCAGCTTACGCCAAGTCGGCCACACAAACTCTTCCAGTTTGCCCAGCTCTGCACTAGCAATTTTGCCTCCATGCAGGTGGTGCCGATTCGTCTTATTTTTTTTCCAACTGACGCTTGCCCTGTTATTCGTTGCCATCCAGCTGTTCTATGATCACTTTATGACAGACCGGTAAACACGAAACTTTCATTGCCTAATAAGTAAACATTTTCAATGCAGTGTTAACCTCGAATTCATGTTTTCTTACAGAACTCAGCACCCAAGAGAGGCTTGAAGAGCTCAATGACAGGCTGAAGCTGTCCTTGTCCCTTGCAAACCCAGTAAGTCTCTCTGTTGATAATTGAAACCATTATGATCCCTATCATAGTGTATTATAAGCAGATCGATACGAACTTCCCTCCTCCATGCTGTCATCATTTGACATGACATTATTTCGGTTGAAAATAGCTTAAGTATTTGATGCAATGTTTCCATCTATTCCATCCTCAATTCCTTTAACCTTTTGAACTTTAACCTACAATTTCAAACCTATGACTTTACTATATATCTCATTGCTTCAAACTTTAGATCATTCATATTTTGCTCTGTCGTCAAAATCTAGGTCTTTAGACATCTAAAAACATTTATGAGACCTCAGAGCCAGACATTTTAACTTTAACCTCGAGTTACTCATCTACAACCTCTCACTGAAACCCACGTCGTTTTTAACCTTGTGTGGCATCCAGCCTCTAATTTAGTGGCTCAAATTTTTAACTCAAAAATCAAGCTTTCAATCTTAAAGTTTCACGCAATCATCACCAATCACCCAACCATTTTCTTTAACCTTTACCCTGTAACCCTTGACCCCTGACCTTCAACCTCCTCTTACTGATCAGAATTTTCTAATTTTTGCCGTTATTTCTGATGTACAGTGAACCTATGTGCACCTATAATTCCCATTAAGGCATCCATATTTGTAAAACTCAGAGTTTCACTTAAAACGAAAATTATTTTTGGTCTTTTGAGGACTACAAATATTGCGGTAAACACTATTTTCTTACCAAAATACCTAGTTTCTTATTGGTAAATCGTAAATAAAGGTAACTAAAGTTAACCAATGGGAAACATAAGCAAAACCAATGGGAAACAGCTACAGAAAACCAATGGGTAACTACAGTAGGCTAATTGGTAACTACAGTAAACCAATGGGTAACTACAGTAGGCCAATGGGTAACTACAGTAAGTAAACTAATGGGTAACCACAGTAAAAATTGGTTACTCTGGGCAACCAATTGGTTATTACGGTAACCCAATATGTTACTACAGTAGACCAATGGGCTACTACGGTAAACAGATGAAAAACTAAGGTAAACCGATAGGAAAGTAGATCAATGGGAAACAATAGTTTATAAATTGATAGCTATGGTGAACCAATAGGAAACTACGGCCAGTAATGAGAGATTTTGAATTTAAGATTAAAAATTTATATGTAAACATGGAAGAACCGTGTTCATCCATGTTCGCCAAAAAAGTGTTTCGGTAACAAAACAGTGTTTACAAAACTGCTACAGTAGTTATAAAACAGTGCTGTGTTTATATTGCTTTATAAAACGGTGTTTACTATGTTACGTATATAACTAGACATGTTTCATATTGTCTTCTCAAGGATCCAACAAAATGTTTGAAGATCATTCAAGAGATATCTGAGCTTCCCATCACACCTGAAATAATTAAACACAGCCGAAACATTGTGCAGACGTTAAAGAAGGTACGGCTCTTAACCATGTTTTGAATTCTATGTGAACTTTCCAATTAGGGAGTATGGCCGAACACATATGTGCTTCTCGTGCCTTGCCTCGTTTTTGTGTTTTATTTTGTGTCTCCTTTTGTGTCTTATTTTGTGTCTCGTTTTGTGCCTCGTTTTGTGCCTCGTTTCGGATCTCATTTCATGTTTCATTACTGTTTGTGAATAGGGAACTCGTTCCATTGCAATCTTTATGACTTGCCACTTATGCTAGCATTACAACTTTTACTATTTATTATTGTGGAGATCTCAAAGTATTACCTGTCATGACGATTGTGTTGTTTTGATTTTAAACAAGTTTCCGTCTGTTCAATTATCATAGATAAGAACCTAAGAGCCTTTGACCTTGAAATTTCCCATGACCTCTGACCTCTGACCTTTTACCATATTTGTTTGAAAAAGATGTTGTACGTATTGTAGACGTATTGTAGCGAGGTCTGCCAGCTTATGCAGGGATATTTATCCAGTTTTATTTCTTTCAAGGTTCGTTGCTACAAAGGAAATCAAAAGGTTTCATTGAAAGCTGCAACACTATACAGTCATTTGAAAAGCAAATTTGTGCTTGCTGGGTCAGGTATGACGTCATGATGTCATTAGGAACTCAGAATTGCTATTTGTGCATTATCTATGCTCCTCCAGTAGTTTGTTAGTCGAAATTTAACTGACACGTTTTTTGGTCAATAGAGCGCCGAAGTGTGACGTCACAAAGTCTATTTTTAGAATCTTTATCTGTTGAGAACCACTCACTATCTTAAAGATTTTCATAAAATACTGTCAACCAACAAAGAAGCCTCTGTAATCGCACTGTAATCGCACTGTAATCGCACCTGCTCAATTTCACGAAAGGATGATCTTCTATCAATGGTCGTTTACTTCTAGACATGACGACACAGTTGTTGAAGCCACCAACGAATGCCATCTTGCAAGCACTACCACCAAAAACCGGCATTACACCAGTGCAAAGAGTAGAGGCATCAGTAAACGAAACTGTTGTTGAAGAAAAATTACTGTGTGAAGAGTCTGAAAAGAAAACTGAGGTATGTTATGAAATGTCAAAGGCCATTGACCTTTGACCTTGTCTTTAACCTTTGCACTTTCATCGCAGAACATTGATATGACGTCACGGAAGTATTTTCGCAGAGGAGGAGACGTTTGATAGACCAACTGCAAGATTTGTTATGAATCCTGCGATGATAATATTGAAACAGTAAATGATTCAAACAGAAAAGTGACAATGTTTTCTTATTTCTTATTGAAATGACTGCCAAAGAAAATATTTTGTCAAGTGATAATATCCTTAAAAATGAACCGAAACCAAAAAAATTATTTGATTCTTGTCTTTTTTTGTGAAAGATTCAAAATGAGGAAATATCAAGCTCGAATATTGGTGACACCAAGAAGGAGCAAAACAACGGACACTGTGAAGAAGACGCCAAAGATGTCTCTAATTTTACAGCTGACACTAAACTTGAAGTCGATAATGAAGAAATTAAAGATAAAACAACAAACAATGAAAGCGAAAATGTTAACGGTGAGTCTAAGAGTATTTAATGTGGAATTGTGCCCCCATAATGGATGCCCCCCGCCTACCACTGCATACTTTAAACAGGCTCCTTCCACAGCGGAAATGTCAATGACTCATTTAGGCCCAGGCGTTTAATTAATTCTCGTATTTTTTCATTAAGCGCTTATTTTTGCGGAATAGAAGCCGTCCTTAAATAGAGGCTGTAGTGGTTTAGCTCTTCACACTGGGTTGTTTTTTGGGTTGTCTTTTTGTAATATCGCAAAGGGTTACACAAAATACGTTCCTATAGTATCATTGTCAAATGAAAAATTATCTGCTTTCTGCACATAAAAAAGAATCAAGTTGAATTAACCTCACATAGATGATTCCTTTTGACTCAGCTGACCAGCATTAAACATCTTTACTTGCTTATTATTGGCCAATTTACTTTGCGCTTGCCCCAGGTTCCTCGAATTAGCCCCCTACGGCCTTGTTTATTTTTGATATTTTTGGATGGGGGGCTATTCGAGGGGGCTTATAGAAGGGGGCTTATAAAATTATAGTAGACATTAAGAAGACACCAAAAGTATGAATTTTTGTTATAATTCAATGAAACGTCAAAGGCAATCTCAGATAGCAAAAATCAACAAATCGAAAGGGGGCCAATTCGAGATTTATGGTAGCAGTGGGAGCGGCTTTTTCGATGGGGGGGGGG